CACAGCCTGACCACACCAGGCACAAGTAGCGGTTGCGGCGGAACCTGTGGATTACCTTACAGGGTCAACGCCAACATCAAAGGCCTCAAATCGAGGGAAGGCCGGTACAGCCAAAGAGACGGCAACGAGCGGCAGCACGCAACGAAAGTGTCACGAAGTATGGTCCGCAAGTGCAGAAGGAGGAGGGAGGAGGACAGAAGGAAGGAGAGGAGGAGGAGGAGGAGGAGGAGGAGGAGGAGGAGGAGGAGGAGGGAGGAGGAGGAGCGAGGAGAGGAGGAGGAGGAGGAGGAGGAGGAGGAGAGGAGGAGGAGGAGGAGGAGGAGGGAGGAGGAGGGAGGAGGAGGGAGGAGGGCGTGGAATGCAAGCGACGTTCGAGTTGAGCTACCTTCCTTCGGCCTTCCAGAGGGAAGGATTCCAGTGACGGAGCGTGTAGCTCCAGAAGCTTTGCGGCACATCAGTTCCCGTTTTAAGAGACAGACATGTACCCCTGATGGGTTTCATCCAAGACATTACTCATTGTTATCAGATGGTGCGCTTCTTGCCCTTTCGTGGTTGTATCACTTGATCGATGTTCTGGGTCAGGGACCATCCAGGACTCAGCGACTCATAGTATTTCTTATGAGTAAACCAGTGAAAGGGCGCCGACCTATTGGGCACTACTGTGGGTTTGCGAGGCTCCACGGCAAGACTCACAGAAATCCATGTAGATCCTGGGAATCAAAAGTCGGGTTGGGCCCTGAGTTCTCCATGGGACAGGGCCGCAGCGCCCTCGACACGGTGTGGCGTCAGTCAGTGACGGCAGAGTTATATGCGGGACAGAAGATCCACTACGGGGCCCTCATGTGGGATTTGCTGCAATTCTACGAGCACATTTGCCATGAAGAGCTCCTCCAGCAAAGTATCTTGTCCGAGTTCCCGTTGTACATACTTTTATATACTATGTCGACGTATCGTTGGAAGAGAATTCTCCTTCTTGATGGGGCATATGGTGAACCCCTGTTCCCTTGCCGAGGGATCGTAGCGGGGTCCACGTCAGCCACCTACGAGGCCAAGTCGTTCCTCCTCCCCACCATTGTTGCACACAGGGGGCACGATTGTACGGGTTTGAGCTTACATGTCGATGATCTCTCTGTGCACGCATGGCATCAAAATGTAGATGATTGCGTTCAGCAATTACGAGACCTTGCGACCAGCTTGGCCTTTATCATTTCGCAGAGATTGCGGGTGCCCCTAGCAGAGAAGAAGATGTTTGCCACTGCCAACAGCTCGACTCTCTTGGCCATGATCAAAGACAAGCTAGGGACACTCGCAGGACAGGGTACTGTTGCACCAGCCAACCTTGGAGTGGATTTCGCAGGTGGGAAGCACCAGCTGCGGCCGTTCGCCCGCCTTGTCATGAAGAAGAGGGCCAAGAAATTCAAGTTTCGGATCTCTAAGCTCTCGGGTCTCAAGGTATCCACGAAGCTCAAGAAAAGGCTCTTCAAGGCTGGGATCCTCCCTACTGTCTCCTATGGGCTCGACATCCAGGGTGTGTCTCCAAGGGAACTTCTTTCTATTCGAAGGTCTGCTGGGCGAGTCTGTGGGATCAGTAAGAAAGGTTGCAATTTGGACCTCCTGTGGGCCATCGAGGGCAAAGGCGACCCCATCATGCTGGCAGGCGGTTGTGTACGGAGATACTGCTGGGAATGGTGGCACAGTTCTGAAGTGAGTAGGCACGGGAGCCCTAGGCATCAAGATGCGCTATCTCCAGGTGTTTTAAGCAAAGCGTTTCACTCGAGTGTCGAAGTCTTCCAAGGGACTCGGGGAAAACCCTGGTTTTTTCGGACCCGTGGGCCGATGTCGGCCATGCTTCTCTGGCTCGAAGCTGGAGGATGGACCTGGGAGGGTCCCGCTGTGTTTCTGGTTCGGTCTGGACGGCGCTGGACTTTGACTGAATCCCCCCCGTCTCAGATTGGGGAAAAGTTTGTGGCCGATCTGGCCCAAGTGTTCCTGGACAAGTTTTTTACCAAGGGTCTTGAGATCCACTCGCATCCTGGCAACCAGGACTTGATTGATCGTGGGGTCTGGCTTCCCCTCTTGCAGCGCGTTGCCAGGAATTTAAGTAGTCAAGCGAAGCACTTGTATCTTCAGGTATTATCAGGTGCTTTACCGACTGGTGAGTCCCTCAGGAGATGGGGCTACGAAGTTGACGCCTCTTGTCCGATGTGTGGAGCTGGACAGGACACCCTGAAGCACAGGTGTTGGGAATGTCAGCACCCTGATATTGTACGTCGTCGAGCTGAGCATTTCGGACCCGATCTTGTTCAGCAGGCTTTGGAATGTGATGAAAATATTCTCATTTTTTCCAGGCTGTGGCCGGCGTATCCTGATGTGCCCCCGCCAAGCAAGGACTGGTGTTTGAAGTTTTTCGGGGCCCAGGGCGAGCCTGTCGATGCGTTTGTGTTCGGGCCCGAAGCTGGCCTTTTCACGGACGGCTCCTGTTTCCACAACACTCGGCCCGAAATCGCCAAGGCTGGGGTCTCTGTTGTCGAGATGGAAGACGACGGGACCTGCAGGAGGGGGGTCTATAGCCCTCTTCCCAGTGAATATGCCCAGACCCCTGGGGATGCAGAGCATGCTGCCCTGGCCTTAGCTGTGCTGAGGCAAGAACGTGCCGTCGAACCTCCCCCCAAGGCCATCTCCGTGGTCTGTTCGGCGTTGTTTGTGGGTGTGAGGTCTCCTGGCAGGGCCCTGGGGGGAGGTTCTCGTAGCAGCTTTTTCTGGAGGTCCATAGCTAGAGACATCGGAACTAGCAGTTGGATCTCTCTTCGCAAGGTAGCCGCCCACCGCAAGCTCCAAGACGCGGTGGACGAAAGCGATGCGCGGGACATTCAAGGATCTACGGCCGCCGACCACTGGGCGAAGTTAGGGGCTCGGGCCCACGACATTTCGCCTCAGGAGTTAGCCGACTTCGAAAATGCGGAGGGCGAGTATGGATCTTTAGTCGTAGGTGTCCTCGACATTTTATGTGGGTTCCCACCCTGTGAAGCCCAATTTGGGAAGCTGAAGCGGCCCCCTCGGGCCAAGAAGCCTCCCCGTTTAAAATCTGACCACGTACCAGTTTGGCACGGGAATATCCAGCGGTGTAAACGCTGTTTGCGTCAGGTGTCCTCGAAGACCCAGACCCCTTGCGGTGCCCTGAACCCTGCTCTGTCGGACCTCCTCTGTGGAGGCGGGGGCTCGGGGCATCACCTGCATTGGGCCCGAGTCGAAGAGAGTGATATGCCTGTTATTTATTGCGTCTCTTGTGGAGGATTTGCCACCAGCCGTGGCAGCGCTCTCCTCAGCAAATCGTGTGAGCCCCCTCGCAAGAGCTCGGAGCGTTCCAAGCTGTTACGGGGGCTCCACCCTGGGACCAAACACAGACTGGGCCAGTCGTTTCCCCTTTCCTCCCTTCCCTTTTTTCCTCTTCCTCCCCCCCTGCCCGCCCCTGCCTCGTCCTCCACGGCTGGTCCCAGTTCTGTTGGTCCCCCCTTTTCGTTGTAGTCGGGCGTCGGCCGCTCATGAGTGACCAGACGTTGCGGAGTCTTGGAGTCTTGGAGGAGGAGGAGGAGGAGGAGGAGGAGGAGGAGGAGGAGCGAGGAAAGAGAAGCCAGTCAAAAGCCAGGAGCAGCGTTCCGGCCAAGTTGCAAATAGGCGAGCCGCCGCGCGCACCCGGGGACTGGAGCAGCGGACAGTAGCGCTGGCCTAAAGACCGCGGAGCTTTGTGGTGCTATCCGATAGTTTCCGGCGTTTCACAGTGGTGCTCCCGCTGCAGCGTGGGCCTCTTTCTCGGATCGGCGCTGCGCTCCCGTCGTTCAAACTGGAGAGCTTTTTGTGGTCCTCCTTCTTTCCTGTCTCATCCTCCGTTCGCAAGGTTTGTGATTCCAGCCCGCAGTTTTCCGACTCCGGCACTCGTCTCCCCGACTCCGGCTCCCAACCGATTCCAGCTCCAGGGCGATTTACAGCCGGATGGATTCAAACCGGACGAATTAAAACAGGATGAATTTATACCAGACGGAATAATATCGGATGAATTATTTTAAACCGGCGAATTAACACCGGACGATCTCAAACAGACGAAATTCAAAAAAAACTGATGCATTTAAACCAGACGAATTACAACCGGATGAATTTAAACCGGACGATGTATAACCGGATGAATTTGAACCGGACGAGTTAAAACCGGATGAATTTAAACCGGACGAATTAAAGCCGGATGAATTTAAACCGGACGAGTTTGAACCGGATGAATTTGAACCGGCGAATCAACACAGGATGATTTTAAAACGGACGAATTAAAACGGGAGGAGCTTTGAATGGATCAAATAGACACCCGGGGCCACACAGTGGCCCACAGAGGAAATTCAAACTGGATGAGTTTAAACCGGACGAGCTAAAGCCGGATGATTTTTTTGACCGGACGAATTAAAATTGGAATGCAAACGCGGGAGAATTTAAACCGGATGAAATTAAACCGGGTGAAGCTACACGGATGAGATTAATCGGATGAAATTAACCGGATGAAATTAAACGGATGAAATTGAATTCGGATGAAACAAAAGTGAACCCCTTCTTCCCCCCCTGCTTGTGCGAGCCCAGGCATCCTCGCGTCTTTTTTACGGAGGTTTGTTTTCGACGTTTTCGGCCTTTTCAGAGGCCCGAGGGCGCTCAACAAAAGAGCACTCAGGACAAAAAGCCAGTCCCCGGAAAGGGGTCGGGACCGCTGCCGACGCCACGCGCCGCGACAAAGTGCAAGACGGGTTCGCAGACCAGCGCGGGCAAGGACGCGTCCGTTCGCGGAGGGGGGTTAGGTCCGGCGAGGGGTAGGGGAGGCGGGGAAGGGGTGGGGAGCGAGATGGGAGTGGAGGGGGATTGGGAAGGGGTGGAGGGGGCAGGGCTTTGAGATGGGAGGTGCGCGGGCGGGCGGGGGTATCAAGAGGCCTCGGCGCCACGCACTTGGCACGGCGCCGGCAGAGGAGTCGCCGCGGTCCACGACGCAGCCCAGCGAGGAGGGGATGACTCGCTCGGTGGACGAGCTCAGCGCGCCCGGCAGAGAGGCCACGCCCAGACTGTGAGCTGCAAGTGGGAAGATGGGGAAACGGAGGAGCAGGAGGAAGAGAAGGAGGAGGAAGAGGTGGTGGAGGAGGAGGAGGAGGATGAGGAGGAGGCAGCAGCATGAATACAAGGCAACGACGAACACATCCCATAAAGTTTTCACTTTCGGGGCTCCAACGGGCTCCTCCTCCTTCCTCCTCCTCCTCCTCCTCTCCTCCTCCTCCTCCCCCTCCTTCTCCTCCTCCTCCTCCTCCTCCTCCTCCTCCTCCCTCCTCCTCCCTCCTCCTCCTCCTCCCTCCTCCCTCCCTCCTCCTCCTCCCTCCTCCTCCTCCCTCCTCCTCCCTCCCTCCTCCTTCCTCCCTCCTCCCCCCTCTCCCCCCGATGCACGCCTCCTGCAGCCCCTGCGGCCCCACAGCCCTCCCGTCACCGCCCGCTCCATCCGTGCGCCCCCGCGCCCGGCACGGGCCGCGGGGGCCCGCCGCCCAGCGCTGACCGCTGGCTGCGCGGGCCCCGCCATGGGCCCGCGGGGTGCCGCCTGCGCCCTATGCGCCGTGGTCGGCCGGCCGTTTCGCCCCAGAGGCGGGTGTACATCAGAGCGTGAATGACCTGCCCCGCTTTCGCTTCCAGGCAAAACCAAGTCGTACCACGCGCCTCCTCGTCGAGCGGCCTGACCAGTACAGGCCGTCGTTTGGCATCGCTTGGCATCTCTTGGAAGCGAGGGTGGTCCAAAGCGAGGGGGGCATGTTTGCCCACTGGTACAGTCGGGGCCCTGAGGAAGGAACCCTTCTCGTTGGGGAGGGGCTCGGTGCTCCTCGATTGTTTTCAGAGTTTGCCTCGGGTTTCCCCGAGGTTTTCCACAGGAGATCGAAGGTTTGCCATATGGGAAAGAGGGGCCTCGCTCCTCATTCAGGGTTCCTTAGGTCAACGCCCCGACTGTAGCCAGGACCCCGGGTAAGGGGACCCGGTTAGTGGCAGGGCCCGGGGGGCCGCCCTCCCTCCCTTCCCCCACTCCTTACTCCCTCCCTCCCCCCCTCCGCCTCCTCCAGATCGCCGCGCAGGTTTCCCTCGCACTTCGCTGGCACAAAGAATCTAGAACGACCTCTCCGAGGCACCGCGCAGCTGTTCACTTGCATGCGCCTGCACGCCACCGCAAATGTACACTGCGAGTTGCCGAATCATTTGCCGATGCGCCGTCTAGGCGCGGCCTTTGCCTTTTCCTGGGGCCCCTCAATTGGCCAGATTCACTAAACCAGGTTTGCCGTAGCTGGTGTTCTTCGGGTGACGGCAGTTCCGGTTGGTGGAAATGTGACGGGGGGGCGCTCCCGGCACAAATCACCAAACAGGTTCCACTAAACCCAGTTCTGCCAACGCCCGACAGAGAGCCGACGCCCCCCCAAAAGCAAGCAGTGGCGAAGCGTCCTGGCGTGCCCATACACACTGTTCACTTCTGAACTGTTCGAGAGTTCTTGGATTTTTTTTGGGGGGGGGGCCAGGATCCTTGCAGTTCTCACTGCTATATTCTAGGCCTCCTAGATGGGGTCGGAGCAGATGGGGTCGGAGGATTGCGCCGCATCGCCGATGCATCGCCGATGCGGCTCGATGTGGAGCCCGATTTGCCTCACGCGGACGGCGCCGATGCATCGCCGATGCATCGCCGATGCATCGCCGGTGCATCGGCGATGCATCGCCGAGGCATCGCCGATGCGGCGCGCCCTCCGACCCATCTACTCCGACCCCATCTAGGACCCTCTCTCTCTCTCTCTCTCTCTATATATATATATATATATGGTCGCCCCCCCCCCCAGCACCCCCAAACCACCAAAACCACAAAATCTTCACTGATCGTTTCTCCTCGTCGCTCTCCTCCTCAAACCACAAAATCTTCACTGATCGTTTCTCCTCGTCGCTCTCCTCCTCCTCCTCCTCCTCCTCCTCTCCTCCTCGTCCTCCTCCTCCTCCTCCTCCTCCTCCTCCTCCTCCTCCTCCTCCTCCTCCTCCTCCTCTGGGGGACGCCCGAGACAGGCCCGACTGAAGGTTTCCATCCGCTGCGCCTCGCCGAGGGCGCCCCGGGTGGCGCCAGCAGCGTCCCGCCACGGCCGCTCGAGGCCCGCCAGCCAGGGCCCGCGGGCCACGAGGAGGGCCCCCGGCTCCTGCGGGAGGCATCGGGCCTCCCACCTCCTCAATTCTCCTCCTCCTCCTCCTCCCCCCCCCTCCCCCCTCCTCTCCTCCTCCTCCTCCCTCCTCTCCCTCCTCCTCCTCCTCCTCCTCCTCCTCCTCCTCCTCCTCCTCCTCCTCCTCCTCCCCCTCCCCCTCCCCCTCCTCCTCGTCCTCCTGGGGTCCGAGCACGGTCCCGACAGCTTGCTTGGCGTGTCGCGTCGTCGGTTCCGGTCCACCACGCCTCGGCGCGACACGCTCGCCGCGTCCCAGTCCCCAAGCGTCAGCTTCCCGACCTTCTCCCAGCCGCCCGCCACGCGGAGCGGAGCGACATGCTATCGCATGCAGGGCACAGCGCGTCGCTGGGGCCTCCTCCCCCCTCCTCCCCCTCCTCCCCCTCTCCTCCTCCTCCTCCTCCTCCTCCTCCTCCTCCTCCTCCTCCTCCTCCTCCCCCTCCCCCTCCTCCTCCTCCTCCTCCTCCTCCTCCTCCTCCTCCTCCTCCTCCTCCTCCCTTCCTCCTCCACAATTACTCAATATGAATACTACTCTCCCTCTTCCCCTGATGACGTCTTGGGTCCCCCCCCCCGCGTACTGTTTTTTTACACACAGGTTTCCCTGGAGTTGGGTTTTCGTTTGCATTTTTGTCCAACATGCTGTTCTCGCTGAAGCGCCGGCCTCATTTTCGGGCCCCGCTCGTTCCGAATCATGCTCCCGCTGCAGCGCTGACATCATTTCCGCCAGCGCCCGGGCTGCACGCCCGAGCCGTCGCCCGGGCCGGCGCTCGAGCCGGGTCCGGAGCCGGTTCCGGCCGGCGCCGGAAAATCGAGTTCCGAGGCGGCGCCGAAAAAAGGCCATTCCAACACAATTGTTTTTGAAAATGCTGAGTTTCTGCTTCTGGCGCCCGGGAAGCCTTCCCCGGAGTTAGGTTTTCGCCGGCATTTTTTCCCAAAATGCTGCTCTCGCTGAGGCGCCGGCCTCATTTTCGGGCCCCGCTCGTTCCGAATCGTGCTCTCGCTGCAGCGCTGGCCTCATTTCCGTGCTTCCGCTCGTTCCGACTCGTGACGAGTCGAAACGAGCGGCAGCGCTGGCGTCATTTCCCGTGCCATGCCACGGCATGCAATGCAATGCTCGGTTGATACTACGCTTCGCGGTGCTCTTCTACGCCATACCATGCCGTGCTCTACAATGCATCGCGTACCCTTTCGGGATCATCGCCCTGCTTGACATCCGACTGTGCGAGTAGAGAGGGGATCTGCGCCATGGTAAGGGATGGGAGGGATGGGTAGGATGTCAGATATGACGCGAGCGCACCTAGCTTGTCCTCCCCCCTCCCCCTCCCCCTCCTCCTCCTCCTCCTCCTCCTCCTCCTCCTCCTCCTCCTCCCCCTCCCCTCCTCCTCCGCCGCCGCGACACGCGTAGCAAAAGTTCCCGACCGCAGATGGGATCGGATGATCGCACCGCGCTGCCGATGCCCTGCGATGTGGCGCAATGTGGCTCCCCTTTTTCTCGACGTCGACGGTGGCGGAGCATCGCCAACGTCGCCAATGCACAGGGGATGCATCGGCGAGCTTCCCCCTGGAGAGTGTGTCCGATCGCTCCGGGTCCCTCGGGGTTGGCAGTCCGACCACGGTCCCATGGTTTGCTTGTTGCTTTGCGGCCAGCACCGCGCTATCCCCCTCGTCTCGGGTGTTGCTAGAAGTGCTCCTGGCCCAAGGTGCCACCAGGATTTCCAAGGAGGTCCCCACGGCCTCCAGAGCACCCCTCACGAGGCCAAGAGGGCCCCAGGAGCTTCAACATTAGGCGAAAAGCTGTGGGCACATTGAGCCAGGGGCACTTTGAGCAACCCCCGATCGTCTGGTGCGCCCAGATCTCGTCAACAATCGGATAGGATTCCGAAAAATATTTGGGTGACAGGCCAGTGGAAGGCGGGCTCGCAGGAGGTTCGGGCTCCCGCAAAGGGTGTGTGTGCGCCGGGGTATGTGTGAGTTCGATCGGTTTTTGCACCGAACCACCCCAGACAGATGCCCCCCAGCCGCCCGCAGCTCCCGATAGTTTCGGATAGGTGGGGCATGTGGGGGGCATCTGTTTTCAGCAGTTCGGCGCACCAACGGATCGAACTCATGCCCCCGTCAGGGTCCCCCCCGCCCGTTTTGGCCGATCCCGACAGGTGAAGGATCAGATTGCGAAGAATATTGGAGACCAGACGGTGGAGCATAGAACCGAGATCTTCCGGGCGCAGATTCAAGCGTATTATGCCAAGTGGGTGCCAATTGGCTCCAACATACGCTATCTTTCGGTGGCACATCCTGGGAGCCTGGCATGCCCTCTGAGTCTCCGTCTTTAGCGTTGGCTAGCGTCGGGGAGTCGAAGATATAGCGCCGATGTGGCGTCGGTTAGCGTCGAACTAGCGTCGATTAGCGTCGACTCGGGTTGATTAGCGTCGAGTCGCAAGAGCCGACAAGATGGTATGGGAGGCTCCCATGAGATGCCACCGAACTGTCTAACAGATGAGGATATGGACGACTCGGTTCGCAAGATCTCCATGTTACTGGCAGCGAAAGGCATCACAGATGTGGATAAAGCCTATTTCAATCTCCGTCCAGGTGCATTCCGAGCTGATGTTTGGAGGCTCATGCAGCTATGGGCTGAAGGCGGTGTATACTTGGACGCAAACATAAACCTCACGCATGAACTAACCTATTGGATCGATTTCTCCAACGATGAGCTAGTAGTCGTTAGGGACACAGGCGTGAAAGATGGCATTTGGAATGCGATGATGGCGGCTGAGCAAGGTAACCAGTACCTTCAGAATGCACTTGCGGACATCACTAGCCATATCCTCACACATTATTACGGGACAAATCCATTGGCAATTACAGGTCCGATTGCGTTGGGCTCATCATTCATGAAAGATCACAGATACCCCAATGGCTTACGCCGCGAACTTGAATGGAAAGGCGGAAAAGTTAACAACACAAAGACGGCAGAGGTTGTGGCGCAAAAAGATGAAAAGTTGCACGACAAGGACCCGAGCAAGCACTACGATCCGATGTGGCGCCACCACCAGGTGTACTGCGACCAGAAGGGGCCTACACCCGACAACGGCAAGTGCCCAGAGGGATCCTGGAAGAACGCGGACGGGAGCGTCAAGTACGTCGACCATGTGGTTCATCACAGCACCGTCGCGAGCCATGCGGGACATCAGGCCGCAAGCCACGGCTACGAGACCCGACGGCGCAGATTCACCCGCCACATGACGACACGATGAGCCGACCTGCTCGGCCTGCCGCGCGGGCGGGGCCCGCCGCCCTGGGCCGGCCTCGCATGGACGACCCCCTCGTTGCCCCGTGCGCGGCGTCTCGTGCGATGCCGAGGCTGTCTCCAACTCCAGGGCAGGAACACGATTGCCATGACCAAGATGTCGCGGCAATCTGTCGACGCCGACCTTGGTCCTGGCGCATGCCGGCCGTCGCCGATGTTCGAGGATGACCCACGGATTGACGATGACCGAAGGAGGACGATGATCAATACCAGTCTTGGTCATGGTCCTCTCAGGGGCGACGACAGGGAGGGATAGGCATAGGGAGGGATGCATCGACCCCCGATCGCCCATCGATCGCCGATAGGGGTCTGATAGCCCCAACCTGCCCGGGAGCATGCGGATTCACCATCGGAGGCCCCTCGCCGCTCTATCGGCGATATACCGCCGATTCCAGCTCGATGGCCCTCCCTCGTGCCAGTCCCCCTTCTCGTTGCCCCCCGTCCTTGTTCTCTTGCCCTCCGTTCCATCGGCAACACCCCAACATACTTATACTATATGTGCGTCGCCCCCCCAGGGGCGACGCGCGCACCGAGAAATCTTATAGTATATGCGTCGTGGCGGGCGCTTTCTGGCCACACCGCTCGGGAAACGATATACTACAAGGTGGGTATACTATATGTTCGGGTCGGACGCGCGCCTCTAAGGAGGACACATAGTATTAGTATGTCCATGTGCGTCCCATTCCAGTCTTATCGTTGCCCCTCGTCCTCGCTCTCGTGCCCTCCGCTCCAATCGCGCCGGGCTCGTGCCGCGTCCGACGCGGCAGCGCCCCTTCTGGTGCGGGCGCCCCTGGCTCCGAGCGGCGCCCGCGCCCCGGTTGTCGGCCGACGTCGAGCGATCCGCGCTGTCGGAGGCCGGGGGCGGAAAAGAGGGGGGGGGGGGAATATCATGGCGGGGGCCATGATATTTCCCCAGATGTCATGGCGCCTCTCCTTGTTTCATTGCGTCCCTGGCCCTCCCGCTGGGCCGCGCACACGCCGCCGGTCATGATTTGCACCCCCCCCCCTCTCGGACACCCCCCTCTTGGCCGCTCCCGAGGAGGCATGCGATCGCTCAAGGCTGAAGTCCGGCGTGCCCCCCTTCACTACAGGAGGAATATTCACGATGGGCAAGAGATAGTCGGGAGACGATTGTTCGAGCATTTGTTGACCATGCTTGAGTATTCTTTGACTATTTCTTTTTCGTCCAAGATCCGCCTGTCGGGGGACATGCCCGACCTAATGGAGGATGACGATTCATAAATGACCGGGGGTCGTGTTCACGCGGCGGCGCCCGGGATGACGATTAGAAAAAACCGGCCGCGGGCTGGGCAACTACTCTTTAATCGTTCTCATCCAGTGAGAAAATTATGCAGAAATAGCAGAAAACTATGTTTTTCATTGTTCTCTCCAATTTGTTTAATTAATCGTCATCCCGCATGAACTCAAGGCCGAGCGATCCGCGCGGTGCCAGAGGCCAGGGCCGCAGCCGTCACGGCACGGCACGAGCCGGCCGCAGGCGCGCGCGCTGGCGCTTGGGGCGCCCGCTGGAAGCGCAGGCGGCTCCGTGGAAATGGCGCGGCGCCTCCTCCTCCGCCTCCTCCGCCGCCTCCTCCGCCTCCTCCGCCTCCTCCGCCTCCTCCTCCGCCCCCTCGATTTCCTCGTCCTCCCCCTCCTCCTCCTCCTCCTCCTCCTCCTCGTCCTCCTCCTCCTCCTCCACCCCCTCCTCCTCCTCCTCCTCCTCCTCCTCCTCCTTCTTCTCCTCCTCCTCCTCCTCCTCCTCCTCCTCCTCCTCCTCCTCCTCCTCCTCCTCCTCCCCCTCCTCCTCCCCCTCCTCGTCCTCCTCCTCGTCCTCCTCCTCTTTTTTTTGCCATCAACCGCGATGCCTCCGAAGAAAGCTGCACCCCGATGGCCACGCCGAACAGCACGACGATGAAAACGAACCGCACGATGCGCCAAACCAGTGCAGCGAATACAAGAGAATGCGAGACACCACCCCCTTGCACCACGAGAAGATATTGACGGGATACACAGCCTTGCCGAAATTCGAGAGGAAATTGACCACTGCCAAAACAGGCGTCACAATGAAGTGAGAACGAGGAAGTAACCACATTCAGAACCGCAAGCCACCGCAGTGGCGAAGGCACCAGTAAGCCCTGCCACGTAGAAAGGATGCCATCACACCAAAGATCCGTCCGAATGAGCCGAAGAATTTGCACCAGAATGCCGAGCGATACAGCAATGAATATCCCAAGAAAATTGAATAGTGAAGGCTAAAGTCCCAGGTAATCGTCGATATCGGAAGGATCGAAGATACTCCCGTCGTCGAAGCCGTCGCACCACGAAGAAGTGACCGAAGGACCTCGAGGAAATGGTACTTCGCCTTGCCCACCAGAGAACAAAAGACCCTCACCAGGATCGTGAGGGAGATCCACAGGAGCCCAGCTCTGAGAAAGATCCCGAGGAACCCGTGCAGGCGGAGCACCCACAGGCTCAGGAACGGAATCTGCGACCTCGCGAGACTGCTCCTCTGGGGAGGGGGTCACGGCGCGGAGGCCCTCCAGCTCCACCAACGCGGCCGAGGAGAAGACGACTGCTCCACAAGTGCAACGAACCCCACGATCTCCACAACGTTCGCGCCGAACACCAGAGGCGAGACCCGCGGGCGGCGCCCCCACCAGCGGCTCCCAAGTCCCCGCTTCCGGGATGAAGACCTGCTCCTTCACCTCCTCAGCGGCCCTGGGAACGAGGGCAGGGGCCTCGGCCCGCAACTCGCCGTGGCGCTCCCGCCTCGCCTCGAGCCGCAAGGACTTCTGGAAGTGCTTCAGCTCGGGCACCGTGGCGGCCACAAGAGAGCGGCCTTGCGCATCTGCGTGGAGCGCCACGTTACGGCGGAGGATGTCCTCCTGCTGAGGCGAGGCGCCTCGGAGGAGTGCAGCCAGGGCGGGAACCAACGCGAGGACACGGTCGGCAAGCTCGGCGTCGCCCAGGATCAGGCTAACGGAGTCCACGACCGAGGTATAGCGCTCCTGCAGAGCGGCAGCCTCGTTCTGGAGACGCCGTACCAGAGCATCGGCCGACTGCCGTGCATGAGCGCGAGCACGTGACCTCCGCGAAGAACTCGAAGAAAATCTGGCGCCACCGTCCGGGGCGCCTCCCGCAGCCACCTGTGCCATCCCCTGCCGGCTTGAGCCCAAATGGCGGAGCCACCGGGCTCTGAACCAAACGGCAATGGGCCAGGCACCTGGCATGAGCCAAAATGGCTACGGATCCTCCTCCTCCTCCTCCTCCTCCTCCTCCTCCTCCTCCTCCTCCTCCTCCTCCTCCAGATGGGGTCCGCCTCCTCGATTTCCTCGTCCTCCACCTCGTTCGCCTCCTCGATACCCCTCGTCCTTCTCCTCCTTCGCCTCCTTCTCCTCCTCCTTCTCCTCCTCGTCCCTCGGAGAGAAGAAAGCGACACCTCGCGAGCGGCGAACATGTCCGTATCGGCGCCCTCACGGACTGGATTTTGGGGCGCGATCCAGCGGATGCGTGGTTTCGCGGATGCGCGCGCGGGTCATCCGCGAAGAAACGCCCCGCCTCCGCGGGGTTCGCGGCCCACGGGCCTGGCCCAGGAGGCCGCGGCTACGGGCAAGTTGTCCGCGCGCGAGCGCCGCTGCCGCCGGGGGTGCCACCGCCAGCGAAGGATGCCTCCCCGAGTTGGGGATGGGGGAGTCTCGAGCGAGACAGGGGGCCACGCCACCAGGCAGACCCCCCCCCCACTGGCTCCTCGCTGCTGCTTCAGTGTTCCCTGTGGTGGCACGATGGCTCCATCGGCTACGGCGGAGAAGCCGGCCGCTGTCACGTCGCTGTCCTCGGGATCGGCCAGCGTTCTGGGAGCTGCCGCCGCGCGCCGTGCTTCGGCCAGATGTCTGTTGGCCCTGGGAGGGGCCCGAAGCCCTTGCGTACAGTGGGCACGCGAGATCAGAGAACGGCCTGCCAGCAGGTAAAGTGGGCACGCGAGATCAGAAACCGGCCTGCCCCGCTCGAGTTCTGGAGGCGTTCAGCGAGGCCCGAGGTCCCCCGAACGACTTGCCCTGAGAACTCTTACGGTCGGGCAAAGGTATGAGATCGAGGTCGGCTCGGGGAAGGTTGCCTGATGTTTTTCGTGTTTGTTGGATGTTTTCTTGTGCATCCCGGTGGAGGGTGCGCTCGAGTGATCTTTATGGTTTGGAGTGGTTTGGCCGGCGGAGTGTCTCATTCCCAATCATCCTGTGGTGTTGGGTCCTCGTTTTGCAAAGACGGTGCCCCGCGTTCCTTCCTCCTTCCCGCCCTTCCGCCTCCTCTTCTTCCTCCTCCTTCTCCTCCTCCTTCCTCCTCCCCCTCCTTCCTTCTCCCAGTCCTTGTCCCTGCCTTCATAATGGCTCTGTTTCGGTACACTTCTCACACGTTTCGCGGCCCCATAGGGAGCCCCACCTCAGGTCGCAGTGGCGCAGTTCGCATGGCGCCGCCGCTCCATTTTGGCACACCCCTCACACGTTTCGTGGCCCCACAGGGAGCTCCACCTAAGGTCCCAGTGGCGCAGCTCGCATGGCCCCGCCGCCCCATGTTTGGCACACCCCTCACACGTTTCGTGGCCACATAGTGAGCTCCACCTAAGGTCGCAGTGTCGCAGTTCGCATGGCGCCGCCGCCCCATTGTGGCACACCTCTCACACGCTTCGTGGCCCCATAGGGGAGCTCCACCTAAGGTCCCAGTGGCGCAGTTCGCATGACGCCGCCGCCCCATGTCAGCACACCCCTCACACGTTTCGTGGCCCCATGGGGAGCTCCACCTCAGGTCGCAGTGGCGCCGTTTGCATGGCACACACCCCTCACACGTTTCGTGGCCCCACAGGGAGCTCCACCTAAGGTCCCAGTGGCGCGGTTTGCATGGCACCGCCGCTTCATTTTGGCACCCCTCACACGTTTCGTGGCCCCACAGGGCGCT